AGGACATATATTCATATGAACATTTTTGCTTAAAATGACCGATACGATCACCTCCCAGAATATTGACCTTTCCTCCTGGAACACCCTGTATATATTAAACGATTTTTCATGATAGTTTAATTGTGTGGTTTGTCGTATTATGTAAATTTTTTTTTGTAAAACAGACTTTCGAGAAAGCTTCGATCAAAAATAAACATTATTTTAATGTGCATTTACATGTGATTTCTTTTATCTATTTTTGGCAAAATATGATGTGCAAATTGCGTTTTGCAGGAGATTCTGTTCCTTACAAAGAAACGTAAGACAACGAGAAAAAAGAAAGTTGGTGTTTTATACGATTTATGCGTGGGGTTTACCCTTCATTTTCGCTATTATCAGTGTCATTCTGGATTCTGTTTCCGAATATTTGCCGGAGATTTTGCGACCGGGATTTCGCGAAGGAAATTGCTGGTTCGCTGGTAAATGAATGTCTCTTACAGATAATTCTGTTAACGTCGTATTTTAATATACTATGAGAAATAATATAAAAATTCTTTATATATTTCATACTTACAGAGAATAAATCGTTGACGTTGTATTTTTACGGCTTCAAAAGTATTTGCATCATTAGTAGCATTTTCTTATCCATTTCTACGGCATTGAAGATCGCACGCTACGAAAAAGAAACAGGCAATCTTTTGACTTTGGAAAGCAGGAGATATAATGACAATAAGAAATGGTCCGTATTCAGATATTTTTGCATACATGTGTGATGATCTGCTTTGTTAATGATATTTTTGCAGACATATTTTTATTAATATCTCTGCTAACAATATTATACAGGGTGTCCTAGACCACGCGTACACCCCTTTTCTTTCAAAAACTAAGCATTTTAGAGAAAAACGTTTTGAACAAAAATTGTATGGTTTTGAGGGGAACATATGATGGTGTCATTGGTTTGACCTTGGATAGCATCGTAATACTTTTATGTACAGAATAATGAGACAAATCAATTAGTAAAAAAAAATTGTTTTTAAGAAAAAGTATGTAATTATTTGTATTTATAATGTATATAATTATAATGTATTTTTTCAACGATGCTATCCAAGGTCAAACCAATGACACCATCCTATGTTCTCCTCAAAACCATACAATTTTTGGTTAAAACGTTTTTCTCTAAAATGCTTAGTTTTTGAAAGAAAAGGGGTGTACGGGTGGTCTAGGACACCCTGTATAATTGATGGATCTGCATTCCTGATAAAAGAAAGAGATGATTATTTGTAGGCAGCATAGCTTTTTTGTCTGTTTACTCTTTTTTTTCTTTTTTTCTTTTACTTACATAATCTTAAAAAAAATATACACTACTCAAAAAAAAAGGTAATTATTCAGAATCACGGCTCCACCTGCAAATGGGCTGCAAATTTTTTTACGGACTTTTTATGTTTAGAAAGAAATATAAATAACCATTTTTAGTTGGGGGAGGCCCCAAACAAAAGTTATAGACCAAAAAAGGGTAATTATTTCGAATAAGGTCTTTTCTGAATTTTGACAAATATGATCGGATCTCTCGGTAAAACTCTTTGTAGTGATTTCAACAGTGATAATCAGTTGGGAAAGCACGTCCCCCATCCCCCCCCCCCCCAAAAAAACCGAAAAACCCCAAACTAAATTTTAGTTTTAAATCAGAAATTGGTTTGGTTTAGGTTATATTTTCGGGGGGCTCCACTTCCGGAAGATATAACCTAACCCAAACCTATTTCTGATTTAAAACTAAAATTTGGTTTAAGTTGTGGGGTGGACCTTGCTTTGCTTTGGTAATTTTTGGGGTTTTTCGGTTTTTTTGGGGGGGTGGGGGTGATGGGGGACGTGCTTCTCCAACTGATTATCACTGTTGAAGCCACTACAAAGAGTTTTACTAAAAAAATGTGCAGCCCAGTTGCAGGTGGAGCCGTGATTCTGAATAATTACCAAAAAATAAATAAATAGAAAACATTTTTAATAAGGCTACATTTTTAATTAGGCTAAAAGTTAAACAATTTCTAAACCGCTAAAATTTAGTGAAAAATTATCCTAGACAAAAAATTAAAAAAGCATTTTGAAGTTTGAAGTTTCTTGAACTTTAACGCGCTATCAGTAGTTCTTTAGAATTTTTTTATCTTCCTTGTTCTGTGCTTTAAAAAAGAACATATTGTTTTGTTGGTTAACTTAAGTATTTTAAAGAAATTACGTACTTTATGGCTCCATAAAGTTTTTCATACATATTTAAGTCAAATTCTATAAACTACAATATTTTGCTTACAAAACATTTTTCTAAAATTTTTCTACGATTTTTTTTGCCGATTTACACGGTTTTGTAATTAAACTTGTATTTTTTTAAAATAGGAAAGGTAAAAAACTATAAAAATTATTGGTCTGCAATACTTTTTCACCAAGTATCAATATTTCTAAAAAAATACAGGATTTTTTCAAGGTCATCAAATTTGATTAAAAGAAATTTGTAGAAAAATTTAAAAAATAATGTTTTGTAGGCAAAATGTTGTCGTGTATAGAACTTGATTTAAATTTCTTGAGAGAAATTTTTTTATTGAGCTGCAGAGTGTGTGTGTGTGTGTGTGTCAAACATACATAATTTTAAGAAACAAAACATTGTGTTTTTTTTAAAGCACAGAAGATAAAAAAATCTTTGAACTATCGATAAAGCATTAAAAGTTAAAACTTTAAGCATTAAAATGATTTTTTGAATTTTATGTTTACAATGTTCTAATTTTTCGTCGAGTTTCAGGAGTTTGAAAATAACCCAATTTTCAGAGTATGAAAAATATTCCCTATATTTTTTTTAAAAAGTGTATTGATGCCACTTCAATCGTGTGCATGTTGTTTTGAAAAAGTCTGCAATTCTCGAAATGTGGTTAATAGTGAGAATAAAATTAATGATTTGCATTTATTTCATAAAGAAAATTACATTTTTTGAAAATTTCTTAAATTAAATTTACAGCTATCTCTTTCTTTTGTCTTAAGATTGTATTTTGTTCCATTACTTTTTAAAGATAACTTGATTAATAGTATTTATAATTGTTATTTTACACACACACACACACACACACACACACACACACACACACACACACACACACACACACACACACACACACACACACACACACACACACACACACACACACACACACACACACACACACACACACACACACACACACACACACACACACACACACACACACACACACACACACACACACACACACACACACACACACACACACACACACACACACACACACACACACACACACACACACACACACACACACACACACACACACACACACACACACACACACACACACACACACACACACACACACACACACACACACACACACACACACACACACACACACACACACACACACACACACACACACACACACACACACACACACACACACACACACACACACACACACACACACACACACACACACACACACACACACACACACACACACACACACACACACACACACACACACACACACACACACACACACACACACACACACACACACACACACACACACACACACACACACACACACACACACACACACACACACACACACACACACACACACACACACACACACACACACACACACACACACACACACACACACACACACACACACACACACACACACACACACACACACACACACACACACACACACACACACACACACACACACACACACACACACACACACACACACACACACACACACACACACACACACACACACACACACACACACACACACACACACACACACACACACACACACACACACACACACACACACACACACACACACACACACACACACACACACACACACACACACACACACACACACACACACACACACACACACACACACACACACACACACACACACACACACACACACACACGCGCGCGCGCGCGCGCGCGCACACACATATGTATATACATGTGTGCGTTTGTTTCCAGGTTCAATCTGAAACTATTTATCCTGCTGTTTATCATAATGGGAATACAATGGTTCATGACGACAGCGTACTTATTGATTGAAAATATATCGTTGTTGTATTTTCTCATATATGCTATGAATTTGGCGGACATAATGCAGAATCTCTGCACCTTTATTATATTTGTGTGGAAAAAGAATATTAAGCGGATGTTATTGAAGCGATTCGGCGGCGGTTTGTTCCCAGAAGATTGAAGCGCAACAAATGCAACATTGTCGAGTATTTCGACGTGCACCATTATGTCAAAAAAAATGTCTATGCAGAAAAAGATAAATTATGCGAACAAAAAATATGTCACAAGAAAGATTCGTTCGGTGGGATTGAACTTTAATGTTACAATGTGCAAAAAAAGTTTTATCGCGGAACCAAATCACCACACACGCACGCACGCAATGCGCGCACGCACGCACGCACGCACACAAACGGTTCATTAACAATTAATTATAATCTCATAATTTTCGAATCGAGAATTAAATATGCTATTAGATATGTTGGTTATTTTATTTTAATCTTTAATAAGCTTAGCTCAAAATATCACGTAGAAAATTTATCTTTTTCTGTCTATCTTATTATTAATTAGTAATTTCTTTTTTAAAATTTATTTATAATTTTTTTTTAAATATACTTTACGGTCTAAAGGATATATATAAATTTATAAATTTTCAGCGTTTTATCAGCGCTGCTTCTACCCTTACGGAAAAATACACTCAACTTTGGGTGTTAACCATTAAAAAAACCCTCAAAGTTGGGTGTGATTTCGGACCGTCGATTGAAGGTTAATCTTCAAATGATCATTAATTGATGGTTAACCTTCAGTTAATGATTAATCCTTATAATAACCCTGAAAATAAGAACTCTCAAATGAAACACCCAAATGAGAGTAAACCCTATATTTAAATGTTCTCAATTTGCATTCAATAATACATGCAAAAGAGAACATCACATGCGGAATTTATACATATGCTCTCATTAGGTTATTATTCTCATTTTCATTTCAAATTGCCTAAACAAAGTAGTAAATAAATGATAAAAAAATTCAACTCTTATTTCTTATTTTTAATTAAATCTTTTAAAAACTCAACTTTTATTTCTCCAAATACGATGGAAAGTATAATTTAAAACAAATCATATAATATGAAATGAAATGTAATATCAAATAAAATTAAACATAAATATGTACTTATTTTGTATACATTTAAAATAAAATTTGGGTTTAAAATCTAATTTGCATTTAAAATCTAATTTTGTGTTTAAAATTTAATTTAAATAAAATAAAAATATTTTTTTGGATTTTTTTTAAAGCTTGCTGCAAATTTTCTATTTATATATACTATAATAGGCATTGTATGTTGAATTAATCTATTATATTAAGTTTATAGACTTTTCTGAAGTGGTTTTTTTTTAAGTTCCGTGCGACATTCTTACATTTATTGATTACTGCAGTATTGAATAACTGTTCCGCATTGTTCACATTTTTAAATGTAAGTAGTAGATAATCTGTAAACAAATATATAAATTATTATTAAAAATTTATAAATTCATTTTAATTTTAACGTAGTTTTCTTGCACACGAATATTTTTTGTTCGCAGTATACGTATATATTAATATTAATGTTAATATAAATTAAAAAGAATAGCAATTAACTGAGTAAAAATGCGATAAATTAAAAAAAAATCCTTTTAATATTTATCTTTCATTGCATTAAATTTATGATCTTGGTCCAAAGGTTTTTTTTCCTTTCTATTGAACTTTCTATTGATTTCATGTTGTTCTTCTTTGCTGTTCTAGATGAACACGCAATCTCCTGTGTTGAGAACAAATAACCCATTAAATCGCAGATCATTTTACCAATATCAGAAGTCTGAATTTTCGGCACAATATATTCCGGAATATTGACTCCTCGACCAAGTGATATCATATTCTGTATAACAGATGATGATAAAATATAAAACTCTCAAAGAATTATAAAATTGCAGATAAATTCTTATTTTCCATTATAAAAAAATTCTGCATACGTTTTGATTTTGCACTAGATATATCAATTTACAGCGAATATATAGTACATACCTTGTCTACATAAGCATCATTCGCACTTTTGCGGATTCTCTACAGGCGATGCAATATTTATTTTTACATTTGTTTCGATTTTTACTTTCTGCAAAATACATAAACATGCCTGCAGAATTCCAGTTTGTACATACAAAATATTAATTTATAACAAGTAATACATATCTCATTTACACATCAAGCCATATAATTGACAATTTGCGAATTTTTTGTAGGCGATGCAATATTTACTTTTACATCTATCTCAATTTTCACTTTCTACAAAATACATAAATATGCATCCAGAATTTCAATTTGTACAACATACAAGATATTAATTTATAACAAGTAATACATATCTCATTTACACAAGCCATATCATTGACAATTTGCGAATTTTTTGTAGACGATGCAATATTAATTTTGATATCTGTATCAATCTTGAGTTTCTACAAAATATCCTTATTATTGCACAAAATTATTTCATTTTTATTAATTGACATCAATGGGAAAAACTTTCTCAACATTAACCTTTATCATTTATTTTCTCATTATTTTTTTCTAATTGCTGCATCTGTAAAATGTATATTAGAAAATATAAAGATATAATCATTTTCATAACTAATAAAATAAACTTTTAATAGATGTATAATTTCTAATATAAGTGATATTCTTACCAAATCTTCAGAACGGACAATCCTTACATCTTTGGTTAAATTTTCAATACTTTGTAATTTTTATATCACCCGGTCTGCTACAGTTTCTACTTTTTCCAACTTTATAATAAAATTTGTATTAATTTACAATAACAATTATATTTTGAATATAATGTTCATTGTTTCATCATTTACTATTGTATTAATTAAATATTAGGTAATATTTATAGTTTTTATATTTTTTAATACTGAGCTCGCTTGCAAATGCAATAATTTAAAAACATGATGCAGGTACATTTCTGAAATATTTCGAATGCAAAGTTACAATTGAAATATTAATGAAATATTTCTGTACCATTTCCGAACATTACAGTATTTCAGCAATATTACATGCCGAGTGGGTTAGACTCTCCTATTAGGACTATTAGGATTCAATATGGCGGATGTCCAAACTTAAAAAATGTTTAGACTACAATTTAAACATTTGAGTCCACCATTTTGAATTTGACAATTTTTACATTGGGTTTGTATTCAGCAACCTAAAAGTTCTTAAGTTTAAATAATAATTGAAAGCTATTTGTAAATAATAATAATTGTATTGTTTTATTATTGTTTTATTATATTATATTATTGTATTGTATTTTGTTGTATATTTTAATTAAATTATTATATTGTATTGTTTTTATTGTTTACTTCCTGGTTTTGATGCATCTGTCCATGTTAGAATACATACAATCGTTGCACTAGTTAATTCAGTTGCACGATGTGCACTTTCAAATGTACATCAATTTAACGGTAAATTTGGCTGTTTATATTTTGCCTATATCTAGGTGATAGAGTGAAAGTAGGAAGTGGTTACGCCCGCATATATTTGGGAAAAGGTTAAGGAAGAACAAAGAACCAACATCTAAAAGATTCTCAAAAAACGGTTAGGAAAGAGAAGGTTGTTCATGGTGTAAAAGGCATGTCTCATTTAATGTTTGTACCTGGTTTTGATATTATACAATCATTTCCTCCGGAATATATGCATTCCATACTTCTAGGTGTGGTAAAATCCTTTATCATCGTTTATAATTTGTCATAGTCCTTCGTATATTGGTACAAAAAAGGATATTTTTGACGAAAAATTAACTTCAATCCGACCACCAAGTAAAATAACACGGACACCAAGATCAATCAATGATATTAAAGTTTGGAAAGCTTCCAAATTAAAAAATTTCCTTTTTTATTATTCTATGCCATTAAAAAATATACTTCCAAAGCCTTACTATAAACATTAGTCGCTTTTAGTTTTTGCAATATATAAGTTTTGTAACGATGCATCCCCCCATTGTTACGATGCCCGGCACGTTGATCAGCCAGAAGTCTGCCGCCCGGCGAACACCAGCCAAGCAAGGGCAGAGGCGCTTAGCGCCCTTTTTAATCTTTATGAAATTAAACGGCTGTATACTGTTCAGCCGTTATACGGCCGCCGTTACAGCCCGCGCCAAAAACTGAGTAGAGTCCCTAGAAGTAAGAGTCTGGCCAATGTTCTACTTTGATACAAAATGGCGTACTGTATATACACTTACTACTACATCTGTACTTACTACTACATGTACCCGGCATAACGCGTGCATACCCATACAGCACAGAACATTGCAATTACATTGCAGCAATGTTACAATCTTGCAAGTTGCAATGTAATATTGTTGAGACATTATTGGAACATGTAATTCTAATATTTCATGAAAATGTTACAGCAACATTCCAAAAACATTACAAAAAACAGTTTTCGATAATCGCTAGTTCTGTGTGTGTGTGTGTGTATGTATATATTCTACATAATATATCTGTACACGTATACACGTATACACATATGCACGTATATACGTATGTATGTAGATATGTACCTAATGTACCTAATGTATTTTTGTACGCATGTACATATGTATGTATTTATATATGCATATATGTATGTACGTATGCATATGTATATGTGTGTGTGTATTTGCGTGTGTGTGCGTGCGTGTCCCATACAGCACCGAAAGATTGCAGAAACGTTGCATAGATCTTACATTGAAACATTGTAACATTGCATGGAAGTTGCGAAATGTTTCTGCAATGTTACTGCAAGTCTGCGGCAACGTTGAAATGTCCGCCCTTAGAAATATTACGATGTAAGACTACAGTAATGTTACGGTGCAATGTATTTGTAATATTGAAATGCGTTGCTACAATAATGCAAAACGCTTCAAATTTAATAGATAAACTTTGAGAATATATAAAGACATCCAAGAGAGACGAGAAGAAACTCGTAATTGCGTAAATCCACAATCTTTTTTTTTTATCTCTCTTGAATGTCTTTATATATTCTCAAAGTTTATCTATCAAATTTGAAGCATTTTGCATATTTGTAGCAACGCATTTCAAATACATCGCACCGTAATATTACTGTAGTCTTACATTGTAATATTTCTAAGGGCGGACATTTCAACGTTGCCGCAGACTTGGAGTAACATTGCAGAAACATTTCGCAACTTCCATGCAATGTTACAATGTTTCAATGTAAGGTCTATGCAACGTTTCTGCAATCTTTCGGTGCTGTATGGGTATTTTATGCATAAATTATTGGCTAATTTTTAATAATGTCATCACTGATTGATGCCGCCATTTCGTATCAAGCTAATCAAAAATTGGACGACATTGGCCAGACTCTTACTTTTAGGGACTCTAAAACCGAGCGATGCCGATCGCTCCCGACCAATGCCGAGCGACTCCCGCCGAAACACCGCGTCGTTTTCCTCACCATCGGGAAACGACGCAAATACCGTTAATTACCGGGTATAAAAAGACCGCCGAATTACATCTCGACTCTACTACCTGAATCCGCTTGAGCAGTACGCACAAGAAATACCAGAAACCGATTATGTTCAATGTAATTTTGTGCGGAAAATGTCTTTTTCTCGTCGAAAATCAGAATCGAGTATGAAATTAAATCGTTTCAACACTATCTGACTTATAGCTGTTTTTAATTTCCAATCAAATAAATAGTCATGATATAACTGTTTAAGAGAGAAACTTCACGTCTAAACTGGTTTTTATATTGGCAGATATTATCATATCGAGCGGAGCGGAATATAAATTATGATGCATAACGATAAACTTTCTCTCTCTCTCTCTTTCTCTCTTTGATCTATACAAAATAATTTTATCACGTATTTTTTTGTAGTTCAAAGATAACGAATAAATCGATGCAATTCATTAGTGGTAAAAATAAAATTTTTCTTAAGCATATTATCGATTATAATTGCTTTCAAAAAAAAAATATTCTGCTAAATATTTAAATAACTAAAATTTAAATAAAATATAAATTTACAAAGTAATATAGCTAAAAAATTCATCATACAAAAGAGACAAAAGGCAATCAAGAGCCAGCGCGTAATTTGTGCGCATATGTTTTATTACAATCAAATTACATTGATATTTTAACTAAGTGATAGATAAAATCACAAAAAGTGTACGTTTCGGTCCTTTTCGGACCATCTTCAGCGCAATTACAAAGTATATGGAATATATACTTCATATATTATATCAAAAATGTAATAGTAATAATACGCAGAACAAGAGTGAGCCACCCATGTTGTCAGAAGATAAATATTATATAATGGAGTTTCGAGACAGAAAGAACTGCCCAATAAAATATACTACATTAAAAAAACAATTGGCAATACGAATATACCGAACTTGAGTGAGTCATCCATTTTGTACAGAAGGCAAATGTCACAACGGATATTCGAGACCAATTATTATATATATTATTTATCCCAGACAGCACAAGGATGTCCTTAGGACGTCCAAAGGGCATCCAGGACATACATGTAGGATATCCTGAGGATATCCTATTTTAATCCTCGGATCTCCTCTGGATGTCCTGAGGAAGAGTAAATAATAGCCGTACACTAGCCTCTGGAGAATTCAGGGAGATCCTGTGGAACATCTTAAGGATTTCTATAGGATATGTTAGGGATATTTTTCATACGTTAAAAGGAACAAATTCTAAAATTTAAATATAAATTAAGATTGCGTTCTGTTATTTACTACCAATACTAAACATCTAATACTAAAAATAGTTCACGTTCTTTAATATTTGAGGTTTTCGTGCTGTACATGAATATTTTAGGTTTGGCTTCCGGGTTTGAGTCGTGTAATATT